TTTTGATCCTTTTCCCAAAAAAATTTGCCTCCTCACAGGTCCACCATAAATGGTAATATGTTCCGTGTGTTGATTCGCATTTCAGCATTTTGGGGAGGTATTTGTTGAAATTTTAGCTAACCTTGTTGGTGCCAGGTGCCATCTGTAACTGTGCTTACTTTAAATGTTGTAAATGCGTTGCTTGTTTTCTAGAAGTATGTTCACAATGAAATTATGCACGTTATGCAGCGTTGAGGCCATTTTTAAAGAGTGGGATGTGTGTGTGTGGTTTTTTTCCAGACAAGCTGCGTTTTGCTGATTCTGTTATAAATAAAGTTACAGAGAAGTCTAGGCAAAGAGAAGCCGATATGTAAGTAATATGGATGCGCAGAAATAAATGTTGTAGAGAATATATAATTTACTAGATTGGCATGGATTTGTAGTACAATTAATATATTAATATGTTATGTTTTGATATAACATTCTAAGATAACCTTGCGAAATTAACATCGAAGTCCTGCAGATGCCTCCTTAGAATCATTTGCATGATTATTTAAGACCAGACATGCATTCCTAAAAAGTGAGGTTAAGATTGGTTTGGTAAATTAAGTTATTTCCAATTTTGTTTTGGCATGTTCTTAACTAATAGTGATACTATTTTATTTTCCTGAAAACCACCCTAATGTTATTTGACTCGTGAACCAACAAATGTGCGCACGACAATAGCGCGCTGACAAAACCGCGGTGAGAAAACCATGATGTCATAAACGCGCCCACAACAACGCGTCGACAAAACCGCGCCCACAAAAGGGCGATTTAACTTAAGGTAAGGGTTAGGGTTAGGTTCAGGGGTAGGGTTAGGGTTACGGTTATTACATTGTTTTTGTTGTTTTTTGATGGCGCGCTTTCGTCGGCGCGCATATGTTGGCGCGCTTCTGTGCTCATTCGTCGGCGTGATTTCAACCTCGCAGTTTTCTCACCGCGGTTTTGTCGGCGCGGTTTTGTCGAGCGTGCATTTGTCGGTGAACCATTTGACTGACGTCCATATGAGTTGCATTATGAAGATTCCTGGTTTTAATTCCTGGAGAATATTTGAGGTTTTCTGTCCTGTTTCTTGGCCCAGAATATTTTCATATTGCTGGCATGTAGCTTAAGTGTTGAGATATTTGTATTTTATTCTGGTACAATGGATCATACGATGTTTTGTTTCTGCTAGGTACCGGATAAAAGATAAATCAGACAGGGCGACGGTAGAACAAGTAAGTGATATAAATTGTCAGTTGTAAAAAAATGTATTGTGAGAATTCAAAGTATTTAAAAGAAAACCTTTCAGCCAGCTATATTCTTTAATAGCAGTGCATAACATTGTAATGTCAATGTGAAATCCCTCTTTTACATTACACAGTTAATTTGATTTTATTTGATTTATTCCATTTCTATGCCGCCCTATTCCCGGAGGGACTCAGGGCGGCTCACAAACCGAAGTAAGGTGGGGGGATACAAACAGGAGGAAAAACAAAAAATAGGACTTCCTTAGATTTTAAACTTGAACGTGATTTAATCCACATCTTTGTAAGTAATGGTTTTGGTGGTGTTTTGTCTTTCTAAGGTCCTGGATCCAAGAACACGGATGATTCTCTTCAAGATGCTTAGCAGAGGTGTGATCTCCGAGATCAATGGTTGTGTCAGCACTGGAAAAGAGGTTGGCTGAGTCTATCGTTTGCTAAAAGTAATCTTGCAATGCATTTTTAAAAGCCTTGTGATTTGTATTACGTGCTTTCTATGATATTTCTGAAAAGTCATTGTGGAACAAAGAGGCTCCATTCTTCTGCATTAGAACTGGCAAGGATTTATAGATACCTGTTGTGGCCCAGCAGGAGCTGTTGGAGCTTCCAGCAGACTCCGACAGCGAGGGGCCCTATGAGTCGGCTCTGGAGGATGTGGAGGACCCTGGA